GAAGAAAACCATAAAGCTTTATATTTATAGTAGGATAAAATCACATGCAAGTAGCTTTAAGATAGTTACCTAAAACTGATAAAAAGCAGTTTCATTCTGCCACTCTTAGAAGATAATCTTTATACTGTTAAGGAGAGAGAGTTGTTTGGTAAAAGTTTTCTGCTATTTGGTGTTAACAGATTTGTTGTTTAGGGTTTATAGGGAGGGTGTCCTGGTAGATGAGGAAGAAAGCACATAGTTATGTTTTCTTTAGGGTTAAGCCAATCACATATTCAGGCTATAAATCCTCTATTATTCAAGGAAAAACTGCTTAATATCTTTTTCTGTCTTAAATACATGTTAACACCTGTAGAAAACTTTCTGGTGCCTGGTATTTAGTAGATTCTTAACAAATATTTGTTGAAGAAATTTTTACATATAAAGAAAATGAAGCTCAGAGAATTAGATAACTTGTTCTAGGTCATGTGCTCAGGACACTGTGTTTAACATGTATTTAGAATGTAATTGTCATTAATGCCTGCCAGATTCCTCAGGTATATTGATGCAGAATTATTCTTTATTTGTCCCCTGTGAGAACATTTTAACTGTAATGCTCTGTAGTTTTAATTAGGATTTGGGTCAGTGAAATCTTGAAGTAGTCTTATTGAGGACCTGAAGCAGCTTGTAAGTAGAGTAACCCCACTGTGAAAACTGGAACACTCTTGAAAAGGGGACTCTAATCAAAATTAAGCTTGGATAATGTATAGAACCATGTTCCAGACAAACCAGGACATGTGGTCACCCTATGTTTGCTTTTACTTTTAAAAGTAAACTTTTTATTGATGTGTAACATACGTTTAAAAGGTCCATAAACCCTATGTATAGCTTGATGAGTTTTTAAAAATGAGCCACCCAAATCAAGAAATAGAGCATAACCAGTATCCCAGAAGCCTCCCTCACACACACCTTCTTCTGTTCACTACCTCTTCCTGCCGTGGGAAATAACCATTGTTCTGACTTTTAACCATATATGAGTTTTGCCTGTTGTTGAGCTTAATGTACATGTTAGAATATAGTATATATTTTTTGTATCTGACCACAGTGACTCAGTGTTGTCTTTGTGAGCCCCATCCATGTTGTGTGTAATGTAGTGATAGTTACTTCATTTTCATTGTTTTTTAATATTCCATTGTATAAATTGTATGAATATAGTACAATTTATATGATAAACTGTTGACAAACATTTGGATTTTTAAAATTTGGGGCCAATAAAATAGTGCTGCTGTAAACATTGTTTATAAGTCTTTTGGTAAATACGTGTATTCATTTCTGTTGGGTGTATCATTAGGAATGACATTGCTTTATCACATGTTAGTGATTATTCAGCTTTATTAGGTAGTACTACTTTTACTAAGTGTTATACCAATCTATACTTTCTCTTGCAGTCGGTGAAAGTTCCAGTTTTTCTACCTGCAACCTTACCAATGCTGTGAATTGTCTGTCTTTTTTATTTTAGCCATTCTGGGGACAGTGTAGTGGGCTGACATTGAGGTTTGATAACTGATGAAGTTCAGTCCTTTTTATGTGCTAATAGGCCATTTGGATATTTTTTGTAATGCCATTTGGATACTCTCCTTCTTTATGCTTCCTTGTGTCTGTTAAGCCTTTTCCATTTTTCTATTGTTTTTTCTCTTATTGACTTCTAGTTCTTCATATATTCTCAATAGTAATAATCAGTTGTCATTATACATAATTACAGATATCTTTTACCTGGTTTGCCTTTTCTCCCTATTAATAGTGTTGTGACATGAACTCAGTTTTAGTGTCTTCCAATTTGTCTGTGTTTTTCCTTTTTGATTAGCACTTCTTGTGTCTTATTAAAGAAATGTTTGCCTACCCCAGGATCATGGAGATATTCTCTGTCATCTTCTAGAATTATAATTATTTTACCTTTCACATAGTCTACCTGGAATTCATTTTTGTGTGTGGTATGATATAGATAAAATCAAGATTCATTTTTTTCTGTATGGATATCCAGTTGACTATACTATTTACTTCTTGTCCATATACTACATTTCTGTAGCTTTATAATACATCTTGATATGTGGTAATGTAAGTTCTCCAGGTTTGTTATTCTTCATGCTTGGCTTGGCTTTGCATTTCTGTAACATTTAAGAATCTTAGTTTCCACACACAGCTTAGATATTGATTGGGATTATACTGAATCTAAGGATGGTGAGTTGACATCTTATAAAGGTGTCTTCTGATCCAGGAATGTAGTATATCTCTCCATTTAAATATTGTTTAATTTCTGTTTTGTAGTTTTCAGAATACTAGTCTTAAACATCCTTTACATTTATTTCTAATATTTGATGTTTTCAAAAAAATGATTCATTGGGGTGAAATTCACATAATATAAAATTAACCATTTTAAAGTGAGAAATTCAGTGGGAATTATTACATTCACAATGTTTTGCAGCTGCCACCTGTCTAGTTCCAAAACATTTCCATCACTCAGAATTAAAGCTCTTTAAGCAGTTTTCCTCCACTGCCCTCTCTCCTCGCTCCTTAGCCCCTGCCAACAACCAGTCTGCCTTCTGTCACTATGGATTTATCTCTTTTGGATATTTCATATAAATGAAATCATATAATATATGATCATTTATATCTGACTTTTTCACCGTGCTAATGTTTTTGAGGTTCATCCCCCATTGTAGTATGTATTAGTAATTAATTTCTTTTTACAACTGAGTAGTATTCCATTATATGTATATATCAGTTTGTTTATGCGTTCATCTGTTGATGGACATTAGGATTGTTTGTACTGTTTCGCTGTTTTGAACAGTACTGCTGTATATGTGTGTACATATACTTGTTTTGAGTATCTATTTGCAGTTTTTGGGGGGTGGAATGAAGGCCATGTGATAATTCTGTGTTTAACTTTTTGAAGAACTGCCAAACTTTCCCATAGCAGCTGAGTCATTTTGCTTTCCCATCAGCACATGAGTTCCAATTTCTTTACATCTTCACCAGTCAATACTTGATATTTTCCATAATTTTTTGGTATTTTGGATGGTATTCTAAGTGGTATAGGTTTTTTTTTTTTAACTTCATTTTCTGTGTGTTGCTGGTGTATAGAAATACATTTATTTTTCCCACATAAACCTTGTATCTAGTGACCTTCTTAAATTTACTTGATAATTCTGATTGTTTATAGATTGAATTTTCTGCATCTGAATTTCTGATTTCCAAATGCTTTCTTATTCTTTTTTTTTATTATAGTTTCTTATTTGATAGATGCAGTATACTTACGAATGGCTTGGAGGGTATTAGAGTTCAAGTTTTCTTTAAATTTTTCATTATCGTTTTCGCTGTGGTTGGTTCTGTTGCTTTTTATTTTGGTCCTTAATTTTGTAGGTATCTCTTAAATATCTGGTGATCTGGGTTATCCATATTTATGAAGGACTAGACTGTTGGTTTTGGTAACTGATACTGGCTTCCTCTCAGTTTTTTGAGATCTGTTTTTCCAAAAGAGCTTTTCTTCAAGTGGAATTCCCAACTGAGAGCTCTGCATAAGTTTGTTTTAAAGGCCAGCAGCAGCCAGATATTCTGAGGACCTAAAATTTATTTCTGGGGCCCAGTGCTCTGAAGACTTTTTCTTTTGGTTCTGTTTGTTTACTCCCTCTCATTCCTCCACTTCCCCACCTCCATTTGCGGATCTTTAGATCATCCTCAAGCTCAGCCCTACTTCTCTTTTGTCCCTATCACCAATGCTGGATGTTTTTCTCAGCAGATCTTGATACTAAGCCTGAGAGCTAAAATTTATACAGGAAGTAAGACTATCAGAAGTGGCTCTGCTGTTCTGTGAGCAATCTTTAATTACCTTTATTCCCCTATGCTTTGATTCAGCTTCTTGATCCTGAGCTTGGTGTTTAGGGGTTTGGGGCAGTTCTTGCCTCCTTATGGTCCTTTTCCTGTGTTTGCCTGGGTTGTTATTTCTTCTGCTATGGCTTCTCTGTCAGTTTAGTCTCATCTATTTGTAATGGAAATTCGTTTTTCCTTCCTTCCTGCCTGCTGCTGCTTTTCAAATTGTTATGAATTTATTCTTTTTATAATTGTGAAAAATTTGAACATAAAATACACGTATTTACTCCCCAGCTTAGAGAAAACAAATATAATGAAAGGTCCTTATTGCCTTTTCTAATTGTATTACACTTTCTCTCATGTATCTATTAATATTATTGTGTGTGCATTTCTAAACAATAAATAGCATTGTTTTGAATGTGCTGAGCTTTGAATAGTGACATATTTCATGAATCCTTCTGCATCTTGTTTTTTTTCCATTCATCGTGCTTCTTTTGTTTGTTTATTCTCTTAGTTTACTGTCTTTTCTGCTGTTTCAGTGGAATTGGGTAGGAAGGATAAGTCAGCCTGTGTATTTCTTACTATGACTGTTTTTAAAAGGGAGATTTAAGCACCTTTTGGATATGTTGTCACTATAGACATGTAGGAGAAAGGACTTGGTGTTAACCTCTTCTTGTTTCAACTGGTGGTGATAGGTGAATATGACACCCCACCATGTTATACAAGCTAGGCTATTGAGTCTTGCTGCTGACCTCTATTTGGCGTTATAAATACTTTCGGAGACAGAGAAACACCATTTGTGTTTCAGATTTAACTGAGGTTTAAATGAAGATTTGGGTTCTTATTGCTGAAGGAATTTTTAGAGGTCATTTGGTACAAACTGTACTAACAAAACTCAGGCCCACAGAAGGTGAGTGGCTTGTCTGAGGTGATCCAGGGAAAAAGCACAGGGATTAGAAGCTAGTGTCTCAGTCCTGTGTAGTTTCTGCCTTACAGCAATGAACCAGAGGTTAATATCCCTTCTTGTTAATATTCAACTATGATTTTTACCAGTTCTTTAAAATACTTACTTAACTACTAAGAGATTTTTTAACTTTTAGTACATAACAATGAACATAAATCTTTGAACTGACGCTTACTTGTCATGTTTTTCTTAGGATCAGAATGGTTTCAATCCCAGAATACTATGAAGGCAAGAATGTCCTCCTCACTGGAGCTACTGGTTTCCTTGGGAAGGTACTTCTGGAAAAGTTGCTGAGGTCTTGTCCTAAGGTGAATTCAGTGTATGTTTTGGTGAGACAGAAAGCTGGACAGACACCCCAGGAGCGAGTAGAAGAAGTAATTAGTGGCAAGGTAAGTGTGGAAAATGATCATTTGGAGGAGAGAAAAACATCTTTGTTTGTGTGTATAATTACTGTAATCATCAACAGTTCGGTGTATTTCTTCAATATCCTGAAAAATATTAGTAAAAAAATCCTATAGAACAACAATAAACTGGATATGACTTGTGAACAGTAGGAGAAAAAAGCTTTCATCTATGGGGGGCAAAACTGTGTAACAAATTCTAAATTACCTTTATGGTAGCTCTTTAATGTGTTTTTAGAATATTTAAGGCAGGTTATTTGTAATTACTAGATATTTTAAATGGTTTTCAGAACAGTAACAATTAAGAGGTGGTTTCTAATTATGCTACTGTGCTGTGAGACACAGTGCTTTGATAACAGTTAAAAATTTGTAAGCACTAATTGTTCCCTACAACAGTATTAGGAGGTGGAGGTAGCAAAGTCACATATTCCCATTTGACGAATGAGAACATGATGACAGAGAGATAGTACAGAATACAAGAATATGTCATACATTTTGAACCTTAAGAAAAAATATTACTGAGAAAAAATGGAAATGAGCTGGAATAAAATTATTTCACAATCAGAAGCTTTTGAATTTTCTCAAAATGAATGAATTTATCTGACATTCATCGATGGTGGTTTAGTGCAGTAGCTATGTAGTTTTTTAGTTATTAGGTAGGTATCTGATACCGTTTAACCTTCTAGGGCAGCTGACTTACATACTAACAACAACAACAAAAAAACCCCAAAACCCCAGAAACCTCCGAGTTGCTCTGAGCAAAGAATTGCTGAAAAAGTGTCAAAAGATATGATGACTAATTATTGATGAACAACTTTCTAGAATTAAGAAATAATTTATTAGACATTTGTATTCCAGTCTGTTTTGATCTTTCAGTAGATATCCATAGTTAATAATGACTAATATTTATTGAGTGCTTACCTTGTGCCAAGCACTGTGTGCAAAACACCTTTATATGTATTTATCACAACTCTATAGCATAAGTACTGGTGCTGTTCCCATTCTATAAGGTTACATATTGTTAGATCCAGTGTCTGTGAACTCTGACAACTGAACCTTGAGCTTATGCTCTGATAGGCTAGATGTTGATATATCCCATTTTACAAATATGGACAATGAGTCTCAGAAGCTGTCATTTTATCTGAAGTTGTGTAGCTAATAGATGCCAGAGGTAACACAAATGACTTGATATAATAAATTTCTTTCTAGCTTATAACATTACTTCCCTAATAGATAAAAAAGTAAGGCAAAGATGATGGAAGGCTTTTTGATACAGTGGGGAAAGTAATCTTGAGTGTTGGATAGCTTACTAGTTGTAAGAGTTGTAGCTGGTACACACTGAGTGAAAATAGCTTAATTTCCCAAAGCTGATGTCAAAAAGCTTGGTGCCCAAGTTGACAAAAATTAGAAGAGAAGATGACAAAATCAGAAGAAGATGAAGGACGACTGAGAATAACAGAGGTAAAAACAGCAGGAATAAAAGTCAGTTTATGGGTTATGGCAGTAGTGGGAAGCTTGTCTCCTGGGAGTGACAAAGTATAACAGAAGGACAGTTAAGAGAGTAAAGAGAAAAGATGCACAATGAGACCTTTACAGGAGTATTTAAAAATTTAAATTAAATAAACTTTAATTTTCTAAACATCACAGCACTGTAATAAAATATAATCACCAATATTCACTACAGTGACTTATAATAAATTAAGAAAAGGTTAAACTAGAATGTTTTCTTTACTAAGGTGTTAGATTATTTGAGAATGATTCCCGTTCACATATAATTTTGGTTCAGAAAGATAAATTTCACTTATGTAAAGCCTCCATGTTTTTCTTGTTTATATTTTTTTCTGCTCATAAAGACCCACAGGGTTTTAACAGTGGGGTGTAAATTAATATTAGTTTTTCCTTTTAAAAATAATTTGAAACTATTATTAAGGCACTAAAGAATAATAATACTTATTACTTTTGTCTCTGCTGTTTATTAAGTCCCCATATGAAAACTTTAAATAATCCTTACTTCAACTGGAAAAACTTCTTTTCTCTGAATTACTCTTTAGAAACAAATCTACTTCTTAGAGGGCTACTCAGTGACAGTATAGCTCATATGGTTAGTTACACTCTAGTAGCATCCTTCCCATTGCACTTGTGTTCTTCCTGTTTGCCCTCCCTCTGCAAAGATACATTAATTGAGTCCTTCTATAGGTATAGCAGTGAACAAAACAAAGTCCCAGCATTTCGGAATTTATATTCTAATTAGGGAGACAAGTTAACAACTATATATCATATTGAATAGTAAAGCAGATAAAGAGGACTGAAAGTAATGGTGGTGCTACTTGAGGTAAGATGGTCAGAAAAGCTCTCTCTTGAGATGATGTTTGGGCAGAGACCTGAATGAGGTGAGGAAGAATCCATGTGGGTATGCAGAGGAAGGGTGGTAAAGGTAGAGGAAATGGCAGGGGTGAAGGTTCTGAGATGAGAACTGCTCTGCAGGTTCAAAGAACATCAAAGCAAGCCGTGGTTTTTGTTTTATTGGAAGCTGAATAAGTCATATTAAATAAATATCAAGTGCTAGAATATTTCCTACCAGCATTCATCCTCTCCCCAAATGAGGTTTCTGCCTTTAAAAATTATTAGTTTTTTATTCTTTAAAATTTTTGCTCATTTGACTTGAGGAAGAGGACTTCAAATGAATATTTATACTTAAACATGATGAAAGTATAGCTAGTGTTAACTTTAAACTCTTAGATTAAGGAATTATCACATGAACTTTCTAGGTACTTATTTTTAAAAATAAGATGTGGTTTAAACATAAAAACAGAGAATAGAGCAGTGGTTACCAGAGCAGAAGGGGTGGGTAGGGTTAGGGTAAAATGGGTAAAGGGGGTCAACTATATAGTGACAGATGGAAACTGAATTTTTCATGGTGAGCGCACTGTAGTGTATATAGGAGCCAGAATATAATGTCCTACTCATGAAACATATGTAAACCAGTGTACCTCAATAAAAAAAGGCAAGTTTTATTTTTCAGTTTTATTATTGTTTCTAAATTCTCTAGAGACAATTAAAAAAAAAGATTTGAGTTAGCATTTCAGCATTTACCACCATAAAAGGTAGTTGCATAATAACTGTGCTTGAAGAATTTGCCTTCTTAAAGTGTGATAGGTACACAGTTCATCTCCAGTTTCTTCCTGAGAACTGAGGATTGACTGTGTTCAGGATCCTTTTAAAATGAAAACTATTTGATAGCCTAGTATAAGGACATTTTTTAAAAACATGATTTAATTTATAGCATTTTTTTCCCCAAGTGATCATTAATTTTAACTTGTGAGCAAATTATTTGATAATGTAAATTGACTATAATGTATTGCAGACTAATATTACCCTATGGCTATAGTTTTTCATATCTTCCAAATAGGTTGAAAGTTTCTGTCTGTTTAAGGCAGTGATTCTCAAACTTTTGGTCTCTGGACCCCTTTACACTCTTAGAAATTTTTGAGGACTTCAAAGAGGTTTTGTTTTGGAGAGGTTTTGTTTCAAATATCTTATTGATATTTATCATAGTAGAAGTTAAAACTGAGAAATTTTAAAAATTAAGGATATATGTATAGGCACTAATTCCATCAGCCATCAGAATGATGATGTCATCTATACATGTAGACTTTGGGAAATTCTTCTCTACATTTGTAAGAGAATGAAAGTGAAAAATGCAAATAATGTTTTAGTTTTAGTATGAAAATAGTTTTGACCTTGTGAACTACCTGAAATAGTTTCGGGAACTTTTAGGATCTTATTGTGCTTTGAGAACTGCTGCTGATTAAGAATATACAGTGTTACTTAGACCTTTGGGGACAGCCTTCTGGCACATTCTTATGGATATACGAAATAGGGGCAAATGTTCATGCTTTAAGGAGAGAGTTGCAGACATCCAAAATTAATGTGAAATCAAGCTTGGCAGTAGAGATTCAGAGAATGAAGTTGAAGTCAGAAACAAAAGTGATTAGAAAGCTATGAGTTCAGTTTTGGTACACATAAGGGCTCTAACTCTTTGACGTATCCCCTAAAGAAATGTTGATTATAACATTTGTTTTGAAATGAGAATGATGCTCATTTGAATGTCTAAATTCTTATAGTCCTGTTGGAAGAAACCAAAATAGTAGCAAACCTTTACATCGAAACTAACCAGACTTTTTGCTTTGAATGAACTTCATATATCTTTGTTGTAACTAGTTGTCATGTCACATTAGCTTTTCTTTGACATCATACAGTAAACATTTATGTTGCTTTTATTTTTATTTAACTGTAAGATACACATTTCTGTACACTTCTTAGAAATTGAGAAATTATCTCTATACTTCTTTTTAACTATACAAATAGTTTACATTAGTCTCCTTTCACCTTTTTTTCTCTTTCTGATTCTTTGCTGAATCCTTTTGGAATTCCTTGCTTCCCTTAAAACCTTTGAGAAGGGAGTCATCAAGGGGGCTATAAGACCACAAGTCTTATTTTAAGTAAAAATGCCTCCATGTATGTTTTGTTGTCATCTCTGCCCTTTGTGTACTCATCTTGGCATTTTATCATGAACTGCTATAATTGGTATACTTTAATTCCCTTCTCAACACCCACCCTCTCCCTAGTGAGAGGTTATTTATTCTTACTCATTTTTTATTTTTCAGAAAACATTTATTGTGCATATTCAGGGCTGGGCACTTGATTTGATGTAACTGATTCAATTCAGGGATAAATAAGATAAAAGAGTCCCTGCCTTAATGGAGCCTACTGTCTAGATAGAGAGTTTTTAAGAGAGAGGATGGAAGAAAGAGATTGTATAGGGTGTTAAGAGAGACTGAGTAAGAGCAACTATTGAAATTGATGTCTTGGTTGGAACTGAGGGCCTGAGTAAAATGTAAAAGATTTGGGCATTTCCTCTGGGGTCTCCAGGCTATGCTTCTAAAGTTTTTCCTCCATAGTAAGTCTAATTTGTAAAGAAAATTATTACCTTCTACTTAAAGCCTGAAATTTCATTGAACTTTTTTGGTTTAGTCTAAACATAAGGCCATTATTTTCAGTATAAAAATGCTTTGTCCCCAAATATTTGTCTAAATATTTGACAAAATGCTTCATAAAATTATGTCATTGTATCTCATGCCTTTAATTCTCTCCTGGCACATCCTGCCACCTAATCCTAGGGACATGCATTCTCCCTTATGTATAGCATTGCTGGTAAATCAATAAAATGAGTCCTTTTTTATATTAAGTAGCAGTGAATATGTACACTTAAAGTTAGTAGGAAATTTACAGATAGAGCGTACTGTGACTTTGAAATAGGAATGAAGAGCATGGGCAAAGAGCATATACCATAGTGGGACATTGTTTTGTAGCAGAATTTCCTGACCTCAGCACTGTTGACATTTTGGGCCAGATATTCTTAGTTTTGGGGAGCTGTCCTGTGCATTGTAGGGTGATCAGTATTCCAAACGTCTGCTTCCCAGATGCTAGCAGCTCCCTCTCCTCACCATTCCAGTTGTGACAAAGCAAAAATATCTCCATCAACAAATGTTCCCTGGGGGCCAAAAGTGCCCCAAGTTGAGAACCACTGATTTAACAGTAATGTCTCTGGGAAAGAAATTCCATTGCTAATGAGGATTAGATTAAAATAGTTGGCCATGAAATAAATTCTGGAAAGGCAAGAAAGTACATTAAAGAGGGCATTAGTGCCAGAAAGAGAAAGAAAAATACTATATGATATCATTCATATGTGGAATCTAAAGAAAAAGAAAAGAAAAGAAAAAAGAACACTATGAACTCACCTACAAAACAGAAACAGACTCGCAGCATGGTAAACAATCTTATGGTTACTGGGGAAAGGGGGTGTGAAGGAACAATTTGGGAGCTTGAGATTTACAAATGTTAGCCAGTATATATTGAAAATAAAAAAGTTTCTTCTGTATAGCACGGGGAACTATGTTCAGTATCTTGTAATAACCTTTAATGAAAAAGAATATGAAAACGAATATATGGAATATATGTATGTATGTGCATGACTGGGACATTGTGCTTTACACGAGAAATTGACACATTGTAACCAACTGAACTTCCATTTTAAATAAATAAATAATTAAAAAAAGAGGGCATTAGTAGACTTAGTAAAGAAGGCACTAATTAGGGTACCAGTGGGTTAAAAGCACTGGAAAAGATGATACTGAATAAAGAGATAGTGGCTAGAGAGAGGAAGAGCCTTAAGTTTGAAAAGTAACTTATGAGGCGGTGTGATCATGTCTTGGTAATAGTGGTAGAGATATCTTATATGAAGGGGAATTAAAGGTCATTGGCAATCTGGGAAAATGAAAAACTGTGAATTCAGTGTGTTAAAGGTACTTTTTCTGGTCATTCCTCAGACTCCTTTTTCTCTGCTTGCCCCTTAAATATTCTTCAGAATTTTGTCCTAGGCCTTGATCTCTTCCTACCAGGTCCAACCACTTGTGTTTTATGTAAGATAAATGGTTGTATTTTAAATGAACCTTGGGGAAAGCTTCTTATAGTCTGGATCTAAGGGGCTGATCACTGCTGCTACCTGTGTGGTGAGCGAAATATATGTGGTCCCTGTCCACATGAAGTTTATATTCTTTATCCTTCATATCCTATCATGGACTGTGCAGTCTCATAATACTGTAATATTACCCCTATTTTATTACTTACAACACTGTATTTTAATTGTCCATTTAACTGTTTAATTTTTCCTATTAGGCTTTGAGTAGCTTGAGACAAAAGTCATTTTCTTGTTTTCTTAGTGTCTAGAAGGTGCTTGGTTCATTTGAAATGCTTAGTAAATATTTTATTAAATAAGAACTCATTAATGTTGAAGTCACTAGCTAACCGTGGCAGAGGGGAAGATTGTTATTTACTAAAGTCATCTAGGAAGGTGAAAGTGAGCACCATATGTGTTGTATAGACTTTGTCCCCATATTAAGAATCTCTGCTTAAACTGCAAGTATGGACTTTAAGTGGAGTGGAGAGTTAGAGTGTAATAGAGTAATGATCTGGAGGTAGCATCAATTTTCCTCTATAAAATCTGGGATAAAAAATTAAATTTGACTCACAATTGAATGGGACTTTACACTATAATCATCTTGCAATTTGATTCTTTAGGTAAATTTATTCCTTTGAGTATACTTAAGGAATACTAACTTTTCAGGTTAGAATCCTTATATATATGCTATTTCTCAAGTGTGTGCAGATTCCAATCTGTATATTTGCTTGCCAACTTTTTTTTTTCCTTTAGCATACTTACTTTTTTTCTGCCTTTAAAATTTTTCTAAGATTTTAGGAAGAATATGAGTAACGGTATTTTATTCTAATCTACTGAAAGGGACTAAAGCCCAAATAAAATGAAGTTATAAATTAAGGATTGGGTTTTAGAAATCCAGATAATCATTTTAATCTGTCCTGATATTTGTATTACTAACATCTGTTCTGAGGGATAATGTAATCTAATCAGCAAAGACATGGACAGCTCAAAGTTAGCTCTGCAAACTACCATCTCTGTGTCGTTGGCAAGTTACTTAATCTCTTTGTGTCTCAGTTTCCTCATCTGTAAAATAATAATGTGGGCTCCACCAGGTGTTTTTCATACAGAATGATAGCAATTAAGAATAGCAACCTTAGAATTTGCATAGTTGAAGTTTTTAAAATATTCATCATTGAGGGAGTGGGTTTTAGAGATTTGAAAAATACTGCCCTAAAATGTTTTCCCCCTTTAATAGCTTTTTGACAGATTGAGAGATGAAAATCCAGATTTTAGGGAGAAAATTATAGCAATCAACAGTGAACTCACCCAACCTACACTGGCTCTTAGTGAAGAAGATAAGGAAGTCATCATAGACTCTACCAATATTATATTCCACTGTGCAGCTACAGTAAGGTTTAATGAAAATTTAAGGTAAGTAAAGGTATTTATATGATATTTGAACTTCAACAGAATTAAAAGATCTAATTCACATTCTACTTTTTAGTCAAGTTGCTTTGAAAATATTTGCTCTCTGTTAATTGTGGCTTTCAGTGTCCTACAGAGTGTTAAAAGAATTTCCTTCCTCTTGTTATCATTTTAAAACATTTGTTAGCTAGTATATGTTTGTTAGAAGAAGTTGCCATGAATTTAAATATGGGATAAGGAGGAAGCAAGAAATAGGAAGTGTGGAGTTGAAGAAAGAGAAATTTACCTTGGGTAGGAGTGTTAGTCTTAACAATAGTGTTTATTTGCTTGCCTCTGCATTCTTTCAGAAGCATATACCCCAGCAGCTTCATTTTTCTACTTTACACATATCCATTTGAAAATTTTTAAAAATTAAGCTCAGGTTTTGCGGAGTAAGATTAAACAGCTTATAAATTGAAGTCATACCTTGTTCTTGTTTTAAAACTGTGGTATCAGTGTTAAGGACAGGGTACATTGGATATAAGTTCAATTTAAAAGAATTTGGACTTCCTCCAAGATGCCTATTTCAAGAAAAAAATAACATTCTAAATGGTCACTATGTTTTAAAATTTCTAACAAATATACATTTCAAGTAATGATTTTTAATTCAGAGCATTTTTTCTTTTTTTTAACATTTTTTATTGATTTATAATCATTTTACAATGTTGTGTCAAATTCCAGTGTTCAGCACAATTTTTCAGTCATTCATGGACATATACACACTCATTGTCGCATTTTTTTCTCTGTGACTTATCATAACATTTTGTGTATATTTCCCTGTGCTATACAGTATAATCTTGTTTATCTATTCTACAATTTTGAAATCCCAGTCTATCCCTTCCCACCCTCCACCCCCCTCAGAGCATTTTTTCTTATGTTATGTCTGAAATCAGTTTTATAACGTTAATCTGATTGTATGGTCTTAGGCCATTTAAAATGATGCATACTTCTTTAGGTTTCACAATTGCTTGAGGGGTATCTTCTTAAAATGTTTTTAAACTCAATTCTGATTATAAAGGGTTTTGAGATTATCCCCCATATTGTCTATAATATAGAAGTATAAATCTTAATCAGCATTACATTATGTAACGTGACAGTTAAATGCCAAATTTAACTTACCTAATTTAATTTAATTAACCAGGTTTGCCTATATCACAAGTGTGTAAAGTAATAGCCCTCTACATTTCTGTAAAAATGCCTTATAGTTTCAGGGTTTTTTCTCATTCATTATTTCATTCCATGCTTACATTATCCACTGTAATATAATGTACAAATCCATTTTATACTTGAGGAAGCTGAAGCAGCACTATGTAATGGGAAGGGCATGAGCATTGGAATTACATACCTTAGTTCTAATCTTGACTTTATCCTTTATTATCTGATGATAGTAATTTACTTCTTAGTTCGTTCTATGCAGACGTCAAGTGTTCATGATTCAAAAGTGACAAAAGTATCTTACTAGAATGATAGTGTGATCTCATTTCATAAAATATGTGTTTACATGTATGTGTATTTATATACATGTCTTTTGATATTGGCCAATTATTTTTTTTGGATTCTGTGATTATAGGTAGTTTTTTAATATGAAATAGTCAGTCTAACATATTTTCCCCCCATAGTTCTAGCTTTCATTATTTTTTTCATAACTAAAAGAAAGTATTCACGTAGCCTTCTGAAACTGTTTGCAAGAAAAAAATGTATATAGATACTGTATAATTGTGGTATAGTTTTCATTGGCTTAAAGGGAAAATTAGATGTTTTTAAAGGGAAAATTAATTAGCTAACAGGCAACATTATTAGGGTGAAATTCATCCAAGTAACCTTTACAAGGAGGACCAAAGTATATTTTCAGGGAAGGTTCTCTCCTTTTTCTTTTCCCTCAGGGTAAGCAAGATTGCCATTAACGAAAGGGGAATCTTATTATTATTATTGTTTCTTCTTTTTACTAGAGATACCATAGTGGAAGGGACAGATAGGTGAACAAGAAAATTTATTGTTCTTCTCTTTCTTGTCAAGGCATGTATGTTTACTGACCTAACTCTAGTCATTACATTGAAACTTACTTTCTGATGCAACTCTAATGAATATTGTTGGCTAAGGTGTGTTACTGCAACATTAGATTTGGGCCAGTTGTTCTAAAATACTGTAGGTTGGCATATAATAACTACTTACAAAACAGTTACTCTTTATAACCACTTTTTAAGTTAATGATAAATAAAAATAGATCAGAGCTTTTACTGCCAGGGCAAAAAAATCCAGACTTTATTCCCAATATTATACCCAATATATTGGGAGAAACCAAGATAAATTACACACAAATCCTATTTGTGAATTCCATATAGGCTAATAGAGGAGACAGAAAATGCTTAAATAACCATAAAATAGGATAGGAAATACAAAGTTACTGTCAAAGAGCATACACTAAAGGGCTATGAGAGTTGAGAGGTGGCAGAGCTCATTTATTTTCAGATATGGTGGTTTATAAATCTTGAAGTGGAAAAAAATGTGTATCAAGATTAGGAATCATAAAGAAATACTGACAAAAGATGAGGGCAGTGGATATAGCTCAGTGGTAGAGCACATGCTTAGCATGCATGAGATCTTTGGTTCAATCCCCAGTATCTCCATTAAAAAAAAAAAGGAGAGAGTGTTATTGAAGATAATAAAAGGAGTTACTTAAGTAATTGATCATAGTGTCTGGTATACCTTGGGAAAGTGAAGGTAGGAGGCCAGTGGAGTTGAGAGTAAACAAGTGTCAAGAGACAAGAGACCATGATAAGGACAGAAAACAGGATTAAAGGCAGAAATGGAAGGACAGATGGTGTGGCCTGAGGAAAATTCAGAGTATGAGATTTCAGAGATGGGGCATTTTGGGGTGAGAAGGTCCAGGGTAGGAATATGAGAGTAGATGTTCTGAAAGGAGTGGAAGTAAAGATGGATGATTAGAAAAGATCAAGAAACTGTTGAGTCTAAGGGCATTGATTCTCAGACATTATAATGTATTATGAATCTTAAGAATTACTGGAAAATGTTTAAAAATGCAGAATCTTGGACTGTACTTGCCAAATTCAGATCCTGTAGTTTTGAGATAATAACCAGGAGTCCTCATTTTTAGCAAGAGCTTTGGGTGTGATTTAGATTACAAATGTCTGAGTCCCTTACCCTGATTGATTAATTGGCCTCTAGACATCTTTGTCTGTATCTTCATTAAGTTTTAAAAAATCAACAGCAATAGTGATGAGCTGTCATCTAGGTAGTATTTTCTCAGAGGTGGGGAAGGGGATGGTGGGAGAGAGATCAGAATGGTCTGAGAAACTTATTTAAAATGTAGTTTCCGAGGACTCAATTCAGACACTTAAAGTGTCTAAGGATGAGGTCCAGCAATCAGCGTTTTTTAATAAGCTCAAAGGTATCTGTCATGCCAAGCATGTGATCTCTGGTTTAAAAAGTCTTAGAAATGTTACTATCGACATAGATTTTGAACAACGCAAGATGTCTGTAGAAGACAGGTGAACAAGAAAATTTATTGGCAGTTCCAAGTTGAGCTTTTTCCTTTTTTAAAGTGGTTTCTATGTCTACATTAATGATGGACCATAATTGTTCATTTTGCGCCTCCCAAAAGCCAGTGTTATAAAAGATGCATTTATGAATCCATATAACCAAAACATGCTGAGAATTTTATTTTTGCTTAGTACTACTAAATGCTTTCTGATCTAACATGTCAGGGACTCAGCATGAATTTCAGTGAAGTAGAAATTGGGGGGGGGTAAAACAGAGTGAGGATACCAGCCTGGCAGAGATACTGAGAATTACTTATGTGGGAACACAAATGCCTTCAGGTATGGGCTGTCAGGTACAGATTGGTGGAAGCGGGTGGGTAGGCAAGGCAAAGGTGTGTTTCCTCTCTCAAGTTATTCCTTACTTTCAGTGACCCAGAAATTCTGTCAACATCCTCAGGAACCTGTAACAGAATATCCTTTGTGTCTTGCTCCCAAAGCATTACTCTCCCTACCACTATTGTTTTGCAAATGCAAAAGAAAATAGCTCTTTGCCTTACAATCTAGTGCACAGTATCCTCTCTGTGAAATGTCTTTTTTGCTAGATATCTATTTCAACAGATTTTTCCTCCTCGTTTGAGATAAGGAAGAAAAAAAGATACACTCATGGTTGTAAGACCCCAATCCAACTAGTTCATTAAATTTTTTTTTCCTTCTAGTATGTTTTCATAGGTTCTCAGATACTATTAAATTAAAATAAAGTAAGGCCCAGAAGTTTCTCCTCTCATGAATTACTTCTTGTTCCTGGTGACCCAGAACTTGTTGTCCTGTCCTCAGGAACCTTGTAACAGAATATTCTCTGTATACCTTTTCCAAAACAGTACCCTCCCCATTCCCATTGTTTTGCAAAAGTAATAGGGTTCAGAGCACTGCTTTATAGTCAAGTGGACTGGATTCTGTGACATGTCCTGGCCTTTTAAAAGAATAGTTGGGTTTTTTCTTAAATACTGAAATGTAAGAATTTTAGAAAGTACTCAAAATTATTTTTATTAAAAAAAAAATTCCTGATGGTCTCTCTTTGAAAATATATTGTTTTCTGCAAAATGTAAACAATTTGTGATTTTACTTATTGAAACAATTTCTGTATTTCTCTCTTCATAGTTAGAGATTTCATGAAGTGGTATTTCATTATGTTGCTTACCATAATTTATGTAATATTCACTTAGTATAGCAAATTTAGGGAATTTAATTTCTTTCTGTTTGAAAAATTAGGGTTAAAACAAGTTTTTCCTCTCAGTTAATTTCAGTAGGTTATCTAAATAGCCATGTCATTTCTGTAATACCCGGTACTTTGTCCTAGTCTCTTTTGGATCAGTTGTCTCAGTTTATAGTGTCACCAACAGTGTATTACTTGGCTTGTTTTGTTACGGTATTACTGGTATTGAGTATTTCACCTTTTTTTTTTTCTCAAATAAGCTATAAAGAAAAGTGTAATAGAAAGCAAAACTACCTACTCCTTAAGTAGTATTTGTTGAATGCCTGTTTGGGGACTATGTTAGGAATAATGCTAAATACTTGCAAGCTATTTTATTTCATTTAATTTTATACAAATCTTAGTAGGTAGTCTCCATTATGTGTTCTCATTTACGGGTGAAGAAACTGAGGCCTGAGTGCTTGAGTGACTTTACAAAGTCACGTAATCCTAGCTGATAGGTAGGCCAAGCCAGGGTTGAACCCAGGTCTTATTCCAGAGTCTTATTTTTAATCCTGCTTCACTTCATAATGTGTATATTTTAAAATTTATTCAAACAGATTTTCCATGTTTTTATAGTTGTCATAATTATTTTAATGGCTGTATTCTTTCACTGTGATAAAATACCAATAAAATTCTACTTTATTAAATTATTTCATTCATAAGTGAATATTTGGGCTCTCCAGGCTTTTGCTATTATTAGATGATGTTTCATCAATAATTTTTCTGCATATATACTTTTGCGCTAGTGAAACTATAAACCTCAAATAAATTTCAAGGAGGGAATATGTAGATCATCTTGGGGTCTTGCATGTGCCTCTTGTAACAAATGTATGTTTATTACAATACTCTTTTGAATTTTGTAAGGTATTCTTAAAAAAGGTGTTTAGATTAATTGCTACAGAGAAGTAAACATATTTCTACTTGATCATATGTTAATATAGTTTAATGTTTTTAAATTTTCATTGACTGTTTTACCCTTATTGTTAATGCTACCTTAGCATTTTAAAATTATTTAACTATCTTTATTTCTCCTTCTGGTACAGCCATATCATGATTTCATGATTTCAAAAATCAAGATGCAGAGGAAGTCAAAAATTACTTCAAAATGTATGCATAAAAGCCACAGACTGAAATTATGTGTCCTTATCTGGGTGATTTTAAATCTTTAATTTGTGCATTTATGCTTAAAATCCTAATACGAAGTTTATTTTATGTTCAGAAAAATTTTAAACACAACTGATAGAATGGATGTAGTTCACATTGAAACAAGTGCACAAAATCAGAGCTAAGGGATCAGTTGTAAAGAAACAAAAATCTATTTGTCCCTTTCTGTCTCTGACTCTTACTGAAGTGGAAATAAGATTTTTTTTAGCAGGTGAAATAAATGACATAGCTTCCCAATTTTTTATTGTCACTTTTTCTTTTGCAGAGATGCTGTTCAGTTAAATGTGATTGCTACACGACAGCTTATTCTGCTTGCACAACAGATGAAGAATCTGGAAGTGTTCATGCATGTGTCAACAGCGTATGCCTACTGCAATCGAAAGCATATTGATGAAGTAGTCTATCCACCCCCTGTGGATCCCAAGAAGCTGATTGATTCTTTAGAGTATGTTTGACATTTATATACATTTGCTTTGATCCCAAACTTTAGGTCCAGGGTTATCTATTTACATTTATCTCTTGGTCTATTTCAGTTTTTTTTTCTCTCTCCCCCAACCTACACATATGTATACATTTTTCTCTTTCTTATTCAACAAAGTATTCTGTATCTACTATGTTCTTTTTATTGTATAGATTTGTACCTAAATTTCTCTTGGTGAAGTCAGTGTGGAGCTTTCACTTTGACCAGGTGTGATGGTGGGAGAAGAGCCTCTGAATAACTCGTCCATGACATTGGGGTCTCCAGTTTCAGGGAATCAGTCTTAGCCACTAAGAAGTGCCTGATATCCAAGGAGACTAATGACTGCCTATTTAATAGCAAGGTTTAATTTATTAAAAGATTATCCTTTTTATTTTGCCCAGTGGAGTACAGTTGACCCTTGAACAACATGGGTTTTGAATTATGTGGGTCCACTTGTATGGGGATTTTTTTCAATAAATTTATACTGCAGCACTATACAATCTGCAGATGGTTGAATCTGTGGATGCAGAGGGCCGACTGTGAAGTATATGTGGACTTTTGACTGCGCTGCGGGTCAGTGCCCCAACCCGGTGTTTGTCAAGGGTTGACTGTATATCTACAGAAGGGCCTTCAATTATTAGGAAATCATAGGAGTCATGGTCCTTTAATTGATGCTCCTAGTATTATTGTTTATCATCTTTCTGAGGACCAGGACCTACCATCAATTATTGCTTAAGAAATATTTTTGCATATTTGATGGATTTGGAGTAAGTGAAGTACACATGGCCAAGATTTTATTTGCTTCAGCCTGCACCTTCTCATTAATTGAAACAAACAGGATCAGAGCAAGAATAAAAAGAAGAGTCTTCCTTTCTTTTTAGACTATATAGAAAATTCCAGTATCTATCATATCTTCACGTATTTGTTAATTCTCATGTAATATTCCTGTAGGCTTTTTCCTCCTTTATTCTTTGTTTCCCCTAGGTTCCTTTCTTCGAAGAGATCCTGTCCACTTTCAGCTCCTTAGTTACCATCCACTGTTTTGTCAATCAAATTCTTTTCTTCCGAAGTGTGCTACAGAGTGTTCATAGCTCCTTCTCTAAGTTTTCTCCTAAAATAAGCACATAAGTCCTTTTCTTTAAGGCTTTCCTGGAAATCACTATGAAGAAGTAGATAGGCTGTAAGAAAATTAGTAAGTATGGGAGCTTACTGAGACATTCTAATGGTAATTCCCTGGTTTCTGTTTTCTGACTCCATTTCTTAGATGGTCTTGAAATATCTACCTCATTTTCCTCACAGGTCAGTAGGCAGAGGTGTTTAATATGTCTGGGAAAAATTGAGTGTAGAAGTTAATAAAGCTTTTTACTTTTTCTGTTATTAGTAGTTGGTATATCCAAACATCTAAGTTGCTGTGAAAGAGCCTAAACCCTTCTAATTCTGTTGTCTCTTTTCTTTACTTACAAAGAAATCTGGCCAGCAGATAATTTTAAGATAACTTGTAGATTGGCTCTGTAAACTCACTCCAGTGATAAAGCTTACTGGCTAAAGTCTCTCCTTAGGTTAGCCAGGTATTTTTGTTTGTTTGTTTTGTTTTGTTTTTGTTTTGTTTTTTGAATGTAGCAACTATCTCTTCCACTTTTCAAAGCTCATCTCCACCATGGGATTTTTCCTAATTTGAGTAGCAGCCTCCCTTCAATTTTGTTAGTATTCTTTTCCTTCCATACACAAAAAGTACTTCCACATACAAAAGAAAATATATCTTGATAATCTCCATTTCATCCATCCTCATCAGGTAGTATTGGTATCATTAGTATATTATAGTACTGAGTATGCAAGTTTGCATACATAGTATTATAGACAATAAGAAAAAGTATCTGAAAAGAAATACATAACATTGGAATTAGACATTTAGACTGGGAAAGACCATAGAGGTCACCTAGTGTATCACCCTCCTTTTTCAGATTATCAGAGTAGACCTTTTCTTCAGAGACAGTGAGAAAATTGGAAGAATTTTGTGAGTTCATAGTAGGTTGCTAATTGAATTTTTATAGCATGGCTTAATTTATTTTTATCATTTACTCCAGTATTTGTTAGTCTTGCTAGTGCGGGCTTAACAGTTTTCAGTCCTTCACCTTATTTAGATTGCTAGACATTTTATATTAATTGTAAATGTATGTTCATTTTAAATGTATATAATTGACATGTTATGCTGTTACAGTGGTTATATGCAAGTCTATAATTCCTAACCTGAAACCCTTAGGGCTGGATGTATTTTGGAATTTATTTAGACTTTAGAAAGGAAATACAATCTATGTACTGTGTAATATGAAATAATTTCATTTCAATCTGGGGTAGTACCCTCATCAAACACATACGATGTGTATGAATACTTACACTAAGTGTTTGTTTAAAAAAAACATAAAACAGTTCTAATTCACTTTTGCTACCTACTGTATGATTTATGAAAGAACTTTTGGTTTTCAGACTTTTGGATATAGAAATTGGATGTAAGAGATGTGGACTTGTGGTTGATGTTTAATGAAAGTAAAACTAACTTCCATTTTTTTAGTAAAAGTTGTGAAATCACTTGAGTAGAGCAACAGATGTATTTGAAATATGCAAAATAGTTTTTCACTTTATAGTAGAAACATCTGAAAATATTTTTGCATGCAATTTCTTTGTTTACCAGGTGGATGGATGATGGCCTAGTAAATGATATCACACCAAAATTGATAGGAGACAGACCTAATACATACATATACACAAAAGCATTGGCAGAATATGTTGTACAACAAGAAGGAGCAAAGCTAAATGTGGCGATTGTAAGGCCATCAATTGTTGGTGCCAGTTGGAAAGAACCTTTTCCAGTAAGTTGTTAGAAATCTTTGTAAATAATTGGAAATGAGAATTTTAAGTCGTTATTCTGTATAAAAAGAGTTGGCAGTTTTTTAAGAGCAGGTCTTATTTACTGAACATGATTTTACTATGGCAAAGTTGTTTCCCTTTAATAGAGAGAGACACTTTTATTGGTACTTTCATTTCTAATTTATGCTGAGTATATAGAAATGCATATCAACATTTTAAAAATGTTAATTGAAAATTAAATCGAAGGCTGTGGTATTCTCTGGAGTCAAAGGAGACTGTGCCTTATGAGTCATCTTTGAGATTGATAACAGATTGGACTCTGACACAGCAACTTTTGTTGGCTTTAAAAATTATTTGCTGATTAGTTTCTCTTGCAGAGGTAAAGGGAATAGAGATGAGAATAGTCAGGATCTTATTATTTCACTTGCTTTTTAGTACACTAAAAAAGAGGCAGGCCTTCCAAGAGGTTGACTCCTCTCTGTAGAGATCACAAGCCAAGAAAGATAAGAGATTTCTATGATCCATTGTAGAGAAGCAAGGCATTATGGTATTTGTGAATCCCTGGCATAAGAGAAAACAGAGACATAAATTAACAGATAAGTTGATTTAGGAAAAATTGAGGTCTCTGTTAATGGTAGTAAATGAAGCTCTTTTGCTGTTGTTGTTGCTTTGACATTATTCTGTTTTCTTCTGTTTTATTCAGTGATTTTGAGGAGGATTTACCATTTCCTCCTAATCTTAGGATACTGCCTGGGTAAATAGCACAAAATCAAACTTGAACAGTTTTAATTTAGCTAAAATATTTGACATATATATATATAAACTCCTTTTTATAAAATTCTCTTTGCAGAGAGTTAATGGTAGAGTAGGTAATCCCTTGAAAATGGTTTTACTTAGTCATTTGCAATCCCAGAAGATGACTGCTTCTATTTAGGATGGGAGGAAATATTCTGGCCTGCATCTAGTCTTATGTTTTAGTTTTTAGAAGAAAACTACTAAGTATATAGTGGAGTTGTAAATTTCAAATAATAAATCTCTAGTTTCATAATAATTCTAAGCTCCCTTCCTTTTTTTAATTTTTGGTATTAGGGATGGATTGATAACTTTAATGGGCCAAGTGGTCTCTTTATTGCGGTAAGTAAGCCTTTTGTTTTATTGAATATGCTATACATTTTTCTGTTTTCTGTGTATCTTTATATTGTATATATGCACTTTGGCTTATATATCTTAAGGTATTGTTTTTAATTTCAACAAAGGCAGGGAAAGGAATTCTTCGAACAATGCGTGCCTCCAACAATGCCCTTGCAGATCTTGTTCCTGTAGATATAGTTGTCAACACGAGTCTTGCAGCAGCCTGGTATTCCGGAGTTAATAGGTATATGAGGTGACAATGTTGCTTGTTATATATGTATATAGTAATTGAGACAGGAAAACAGAGCTACTTAGGAATGTTTAATAACCCATACCAATGTTTATAGGCATTTCACTTTAAACTGCAAGAATTGGTTTATCACAGGCAATGTAGAAAGTGGTTCCATCAGCAATAATTTAAGAATTAACATATGGGGGAGGGTATAGCTCAGTGGTAGAGCACATGCTTAGCATGCGTGAGGTCCTGGGTTCAATCTCCAGTATCTCTGTTAAAAAAAAAACAACACAAATTCTTGTGTGCTACCTACAGGGTAGACAAGGTCATTAGAGATTTAAAATTTTTTTTTAATTCCCTGCATTATTTTTAATTCAAACTAAAATTTGGTATAAACTCAGCATATGTAAAGAGCTGAAATTCATAGAGAATGGCTTCCCATATATGAAATATGCACACTAGAGCTGCTTTGATCAACTCATAGGCCTTTTAAAAGAAGATAATAGCGTTTACAGGTAACACCTAAACCTAAACACCTAAGCTTCTCAATAACTTTTTTTCTAAATAATAAATGACCCTTATTTTTGAAGTGTATTTTATATCCTAAAAAAGGAGGGATATGATTATATGAATATATTGTTTCTGGTAAAATGGAACTCAGTCCATAATTTTTTTCAAGTAGAACCTCCGAAAATGGGAAGGAGATAGGAAGAGCTGGGTTTTGTTGTTGTTTTTCCTTACATAAAAAGCAGATACTCCTGCTAATACAAGAAAGAAAAATATGAAAAGAAGTCTGTTGTCTTACAATTTTTGCGGTAGGGTAGTGGAAAAGAGTAGTTGTAAATAGCTGTTCAGACCCCAAAATTAATCCTTTAGAGATAATTTTTTGAAATATTCACTTTAGAAAAGATACCCATCATTTTTATTTCCTCTTACTTAAATGTCATATAGGATTTAGATTGGTTAAGTTTGGCCTCTTTTTATGTTTCATTGCTTTGATCTTTGTCTTTGCAGACCAAGAAACATCATGGTGTATAATTGTACAACAGGCAGCACTAACCCTTTCCACTGGGGTGAAGTTGGTATGATTTTACCTGTGTTTTTGAATGTTAGAATAAATTTTTAAAGAACTTTAAATGTTCGCTGAGTTTTTATGTTAGAATAACCCATGAGGCATTAAAGCCACTGAAGTACCAATTTATTCTTATTTTAATTGCCATGTTAGATCTTCTACTAGAACTGCCTTTTGGTCCTTAATAATGCTTCACAAATTTAAAAATATCCTACTGTATATTCCCTCCTCATCTCACCCTTGTCTGACCCTTACTATTTTTCTGCTGCCATCTGCAGCCGTGCCCATAGATAACCTGTGGTGTCTTTTTTTCCTTCCTCCCTCATGGGTACTCTCAATCCTGATGTTCCCTATTCACAGGCAGTATCACTTCCAACTACAGGAGTTGGTTTATCACAAGAGATAACTAGCTGTCCAAAGAGTAATAACTGAAGGAGTTAGTAAGTAGGATATATTTTGACAGAATATTTTGTTACATTTATTAATCTATTTAAATTCACAGATCCACAGCAGGTAGTGGGAATGTTATGTTACTTGTTCAAAAATAGGAATAGTGTAACCTAAAGCCTGCTGCAATTGAATCATTTTTAAGTTGTTGGTTTATGTTTTCAAATTTAAAGTGAAGTATATTTACAATGTTGATTTAGTAATAGGTCTTATTTTACCTCCAGTTGAACAATTTTTGTTAGCCCTTGTAGAATAGTTTTTTGATTTTAAAGTAAATCTTTGTCTTTTGTCCTAGTGCTTTTTTTTAAATAGCATTTTTATTTCAATTTAAAGATTGACTGTTAGAACATATAAGAAAAGCAAAAGATCTAGGGTACTTTTAATTTTATGATAATTATTTGTATTCTTTTAAGAATTTTAAAACACTTTAAATGAGTTAGGTTTTTTTATAGTCTTTCATTGTGTTATAAAGTTTAGTAAAAATCAAGTTGAGCATTTTTTAAGTGAATATCCTAGTATATACCCTTCCATTAAAGTGTTAACATAGATGATAATAGATTTGATTGTGTTGATATTGCATAACCTAAATAAATTACAACAGAAATTAATTTGGGTTGTTTTAAGTTTGTTGATGTATGTAAATTTGAACAACAATTATTCATGAGCAAAGGATGATGATTTTCCTTTTCTTTTTTAAGTAAGTACAGTAATAAGAATCTGGAAAGAGGAACAGAAAGAAAGAAGCTATCGTGAGAGGTGAAATATAGAAAGTGACATTGTAAACTGATATAGGTAAACATTAAAAGGATTTTTAAGAGTGAATTTTAGCAAAAATTCATTCATCTAATTAAAATTCTCAAATAGTGGCAGTTGTAAAATTACGTGTGTTCAGCAAGCAGTCTGAGACCCGTATTCTCTTAGCTACTGTAGAGAGTAGAAAAGTTTGTTTTTTAAATGAGCAAACTCTGACATATTTGGTAAAATATTTTGCTATGTAAAAACATGATTTTTTTTTCAAAACTTCATTACATGGTTATTATCAAAGCTGTTACACAACTTTTCTTCCTCAGAATACCATGTAATTTCCACTTTCAAGAGGAATCCTCTCGAACAGGCCTTCAGACGGCCCAATGTAAATCTAACCTCCAATCACCTTTTATATCATTACTGGATTGCTGTAAGCCATAAGGCCCCAGCATTCCTGTATGATATCTACCTCAGGATGACTGGAAGAAGCCCAAGGTAATGGTGACTAGCTCTGTCTTATCTGTTCCTCTGACTGTTAAACAACCCATGCTTATACTAAACTGCATATTAACTCTGTATTTGTTTATGCTTATAATAAGGCTTAAAGGCCTTTTGTGAACAAGAAGACTCTTGAATTTAAGAATTTGTCAGAAAAGCAAAGGTAGTGTTGTAATTCACTCTAATTTATTCTGAAGTTTGAATGATAAATTATTGTCATGTGCTGAATTGTAGGTCTAACTTAGGTATTTTTTCTGAATAACAAATAACATTCAAAATGCTTTGACGCTTATTTTCCCTACAGGGTATTATCTAAATCATTTCTTCAAGATGAATCCTTTAAATCAAGTATTCAGGCGCCCCAATATTAAGTTGTATTCCAACAACTTAATGCTTCATTATTGGAAGGGTGTCAGACATACAGTACCTGCATTATTGCTCGATCTTGCACTCAGGTTGACAGGTCAGAAACCGTGGTAAGAAGAATAGCAGTAAATACACTATATATTGGTAAGGTGGTGGAAGCTTGCTGGAGAGACGAAAAGTCGCTAGCATGAGCTTTACCTTTAGAACTACTAACCGAATTCATCACAATCACAATCAGGATGCTAGGACATTTCTTAGAAATTGAGGATATTTGGGGAGACTCACTGTGGATCTCCTCTTATTGGGCCATTGATCCTCCAAAATCCCGAAATACAGGAAATGTCCAACGTCAAGGTTGTCATTGTTATTATAAGCTGAAATTGAACCCTTCTCCTCTCCCCCTTAAAGTTTTATAGGGGATTAAGGGTTAAATGTTTTGCTTTAAGCAGATTGTCCATTTTTATATGAAAAAACATAGGATGCTTCTAGAAAATTGATTGCTTGAGATATCTCAGTTTCCCGTTCAGCTTATAATATGGTAATTACAATTTTTGACTAATTTTCCAGGTTGAAAATGTCATAGTTTAAAACAAAAGTTAACAAATCAAAAACGTTCTATTTCCTTATAGTTGTTCTAGCCTTTCTTTCCTCTTTTCTTTTTTTATTGAAACCCCACAAAAGTAAACCTACTACTGCCTTTACCTCAATTATAGTGAAATGTACATTAAAATATTTATGTTTTTAACTACATTGGCATTACAGTGGAGCCTTTGATTGGAGAGTTCAGGATTTGAGTATTTATGTATAAAGAAGATGCTGATTCCAGAACTTCCATCAACTGCTCAAAAAGTAAAAGTGAGGTATCTGCCAGTTATAGTGTATCAGGATCTGAGTTACATGTAGGGAATTTCTGTGGGTTCAGTGGTCCATTATGTTTCTAACTCTGTATGTTAAAGATTGAAACATATGAGGTGTTGAATTGAACAATTTTAGAATAGGTAAAGAAATACTTAATGGGAAAAAAATCCAAAATATATCAAAGTAATCTTCCATATTTTTCTAGGGTGATCTGCAAAGTGCAATATTTGTCATTAGCAGTTTTTCGTGGCTAAAAAGCACATGTTAATTTATGATTGATGGCAATGCGTGTCATCTTGATGTTAATAGAGTTGTTGCAAGTTAGAGCAGAAAAGTCAAAACTAGGTCTAAAAAGTAAAAAAAAAAAAGGTTAATTACATCATAATGCCTTACTCAGAAAGGGGGCTTAGTAAATTTAAATGAGGGAAGAGGTAAAGTTTATTCAATAATTTATAGTTAATGTTGCTGCATAACAAATCATCTCAAACTTAGTGGCTTAAAACAGCAGCAGTCATTTTATTCTTTCAATTTACTATTTCTCTCAGGATCAGGAATTCAGGAAGGAATCCACTGAGCAGCTTTGACTTGAGGGTCTTTTGTATGATTATGGTCAGATGGGAGCTGAAAGGGAGGCGTTATGGAACAGCTAGTGTCACTGCTCTTCACATAATGTCAGGATCTCTTCATAGAGCCTCTTTATAAGGACCAGGGGTAGCCTTAGGGGATCTGGTCTGCTTACTTGGCACTGAAGGCTTCAAGAAGTGCTTCAGCAGGCAAGGTAGAAGCTATGTGTGTTTTCTGACCTACCTACAGAAATCTTGCAGCACAACTTCCACCTTATTCTTTTAGTCACAAGTGAGTCACAGATCCTCCAGGATTCAAGGAAAGGGGATGTAGAGAGTGGTCGAGATCATGTCATAAGAACAGGTGAAATGAACGGTATTATTGTAGCCATTTTTGGAAAGTGCAGGCTGCTACAGTCAGCCTTCTGGCCACAACAATTCATACTCCTCCTACATAGAAAATACACTTGCGTCTTCCCCCAAAGACCTCTCTGACATCAGCTTGGAGCCAGTGTGGTCAACAAGATCTGGTACAGTTGGAATCTGTAGGAGTGTTTTTTAAACTATGGTAACTCAAGTATTGGTCTGAAAACCTGTGACCTAAAGTGACAAGTTACGTGCTGCCCCTCCACTCAACATAAAATGGTGAAACATGCATGGGAAATACTTTAGACAGCCTTGTTCAAAAGACAGAAAATGAGAGGCACACAGCTATCACTGGTCCATAACTGTTCTGAATTCTAGCTAGGTGTGTTTGATGGTTTGTTAGTTAGGACTCATTCCCACTATCTGGTTGTTCTCTGAGGCTTTTGCCTCTCCCCTCAGAGTCATCCTCCTTCTCCCATAAAAAAATGGCCTGTGTTTGCAAGTTACCTTACTTCTTGCCCACAAAATGTTGGGAGTCTTCAGAGCAGGAATTGATAAACTTTCTGTAAAGGGCCATATAGTAAACATTTTAGTCTTTGTGAACCTTATGGTATCTGTTGCAACTACTCAGTTCTGCTGTTAAGTATAGCTTCCACCTTGTAACTGCTCAATTCTGCAGCCTCAGACAATATGTAAACAAATTAGCATGACCATGTTCCTATCAAACTTTATTTATAAAAACCAGCAGATTTGGTCCCTAAGCTCTGGTTTGCTGGCCCTTGATCTAGAGGCCTTTTTTCATGTTGTACTGTCTCTGTCCTTTTAAATGTAAACTGATATAAGTCCTTTTAAAACTGGGTTTCCCATGATCCATTTTAAAACAATCCACTCCATTAGACCAGAGCCATACACACAGATCTTTTTGAGACACATCCTTCTCTGTCTTGGGTTCCTTATGAGGTTGCTGTGGTACAGCACCCTCGGTTCTTAGATCCTTACCTCTTAGATCCTTAGACTCTTACATCCTGCCTCTTAAAAAATGGGAATTCTATAAGACATGTCTTTAAGATCTGGAGTGAGCCTTTTGTTTGTCTGAAATGTTCTATGAGGTGTACTACCTTAAATCTTTCTGAGGTCTTAATAAGGAAACTTAGATCTGCATTCTAGATTTGATCTGTGCTCAGAACACATTTATTAAAGAATTCCTGGCTGGAATTTTACATTCCTTCCAAATTCTACTCAGATAGTTCATTTTTTAAGATCATCTTTGTCCTCTTTGAGGAAATCTTGGCTAGATCATTGAGTTTATTAGATATGGTTTCTATTTTCCGTGTGACCACAGGTGACAGTTTTATTCTTCTGACTTCCAACATTATTTTCCTCACTTACCTTGAAACACTCACCAACAGCTTCCTTGAGCCCTTTTATGGCTTCTACTGACATTCTTTTCTTGGTCCTTCTAGGTTTCACCAGTGGTCTCCTCAAGGGCCTTCCAAATTCTGTCTACCACCTCATCCTAAAGCCAGAACTTTGTGTTCCCGATTTTTATCATAGCAGCCCCTCACTTCCAGTACTGGTATTTGTTACCATTATCTGTGCTACATGACAAATCGTTTAAACTTAGTATCTTTCTTTTTTAAGAAATTGAAATATGATTGACATCAAACTTAGTATCTTTCTTTTTTAAGAAATTGAAATATGATTGACATCAAACTTAGTATCTTAAAACAGCAGTCATTTCACTTATCACTCATGATTTCTGTGGGTCAGAAATTCCAGAAGGCTTTGACAGGATTGTTTTGGCTCAGGATCTTTCAAGCAGTTGCAGTCACAGGGACTGGAGCAGGTACACTGAAGGAATGGTAAAAGGAAGGGGAAGGTGCAGAGCAGCTGGGTGGCCAGGCATCTTTCTCTCTTCATGTAGTCTCAGAACCTCTCCGTGTGGTCTCTACACATGGACTAATTTGGGCTTCCTCACAGCATGGCAGCCTCAGGGGGAATTGGACAGCATACATGACCACTGAAGGCTTCAAGGGTGAGTATTCCAGTGAGCAAGGCAGAAAGCTCTATTGCTTTTCCTTATCTATCTGCAGACGTCAGACAGTGTCACTTCCACCCCATTCTGTTGGTATGAGTTACCTTCACTTCTTAACAGGGAAGATAGTTAAGGTGATACTGTAGGTGAGCATGTAGGGTGGGAGATAATTTTGCAGCCACCTTTGGAAATTAAAATCAACTACAAATAAGAAACGTCAAATAAAGAATCTTACCTGAGGTTTGTCCTTTGTAATGCTAAGTATCAAAGCAATAATGATCCTTAACCTCTGGGAGCTTAAAGTCTAAAAGCAACCAAAAGACATTAAAGTTTTATGTTTAGGCAATTTTATAAATGTTAAATATAAAGTTTTATAACATTTAATTTGTTCAGGTATTTACTGAGCAAGTTACTTGGCTCTATACCTTATATTGGGGCCTTAATATAATGCCTACTTCTGCGTTAAACTAATGTCAATCTTCTCATTTGTCGTGTCCATTTTAATCATTTACATTATTCTGAGTGTGAGCTGGATAAGAATCTGACTTGCTTTATATCTTGGCATAATTTTTAAAGTATAAGCCAGATATGCTTTATATGGATTCCTGGTTAGTAGCCATGGGGACTAGTATGCATGGTATTATTACACGTAGAAGCAGTATAAATTATTCACTGTAGCTCTTGAAGTATAGCAGATATTTCATTGCTTTTAAAAATGACATTTTAAAAATGGTTCCATAATCTTGTTTTTTGGTTACTTAGCTTAACTTTCTCTAGCTTAACATCTCTGAACCTGATATTGTTTATCTGTGTGATTCTCAACAGAAGACAAATTTGCTCCCTCAGAGGACATCAAACAAGTTTTGGAGCTGTTTTTAGTTATCACAGCTGGGGGATGGGCGCTACTGGCATCTTACAGTGCATAGAGGCCAGGGGTGCTGCTAAGCATCTCACAGTGCATAGAACAACCCCCTGCCATGAAGAATTATCTGGCCTAAAATACCTATAGTGCTCACATTGAGAAACCCTGCACTAGATTACCTTTAAGATCTTGCCCTACTCTAAAGGATTATTACTGATTATTTTTTGCAGGTTATTGTATTAAAGAATAGATGAATACTCAAAACATGCATGGCAGTGTAGTTCTAGGCATCTCTTCTTAAAGCATGTTTAACCAAAGACTGATGGTGCAAAGTTTTAAGTTTTTCTTTATCCCCCATAGTATTCAATCCAGTACTTTTATTGCTTGATAAATACTGTGAACTTCACACATACATGACCTTTCAAATTTCCTTCTCCTTCTCTAATTTTTTATTATAATTATGGCTGAATCAATGATTGGTTTTAGGGTAATTCTGTCGTGTGAATGAATCTGAAAATAAGACTACATGAGAATTATCAGTAAAAGGGGAGTTAGAAACAAAAACTTTTTAGTAAGATATATGTTGGAAAACTGTTAACCAAATATGTGTATGTGTGTGATTCCAGTGTACTGTACTGGCTATGATGGTGGATATTGATTTAATTACACATCTGTTAAATCTTTTTGTTGTTTTTTAGGGAAAAAATTTGCCTAATCTCTTTTCTAAAAGCAGCATGTCTTGGTTTTTTTTTTCCCCTTTAAGTGCCTTCTATCTATTGAACTATTCCGTCCAAATTTAATCTTGATGCTCAGTAATTCTTTTCATGCTTAATGAAGGTTTTATTTTGAAATTACTTTCTTGCTTGAACTACAGTTTTTCTTTGCATAGTCCACGTTGCCTCATTTTCTTTCAGTATTCTGGATTCAGGGTTCTTTCTAAACGTATTGAATTTGTCATCGTAATTGCTTAGCTAATGTTACTGTTTTGATTTTTTTCCCCCCTCGTTTCTCATGTTTCAGTTTTCTCCTTTTTCCTCCATTTCTAAAGCCCATAATACTGGGACTTTCTAAACTATATGTAATGCTAATCCTTATTGTGGGAATATAACTAGAATTCTTTTTAAGTACCTCTCTACAAATTATTTTTCTGTTTATCAGAGGTTAGGAATTTTTTATAGGTATATCAGGCATAGTATTTTTTATTTTTATTTTATTTTTTATTTTTTTAACATTTTTATTGAGTTGTAGTCATTTCACAATGTTGTGTCAAATTCCAGTGTAGAGCACAATTTTTCAGTTATACATGAACATACATATATTCATTGTCAGATTTTTTTTTCACTGTGAGCTATAAGATCTTGTATATATTTCCCTGTGCTGTACAGTATAATCTTGTTTATCTATTCTACATTTTGAAATCCCAGTCTGTCCCTTCCCACCCTCCCTGCTCCCTTGGCAACCACACGTTTGTATTCTTTATCTGAGTCTGTTTCTGTTTTGTATTTGTGGGGTTTTTTATTTTTGCTGTTTGTTTTTAGATACCACATAAGAGCAATCTCATATGGTATTTTTCTTTCTCTTTCTGTCTTACTTCACTTAGAATGACGTTCTCTAGGAACATCCATGTTGCTGCAAATGGCATTATGTTGTCAGTTTTTATGGCTGAATAGTATTCCATTGTGTAAATATGCCACATCTTCTTTATCCAGTCATCTGTTGATGGACATTTAGGCTGTTTCCATGTCTTGGCTATTGTAAATAGTGCTGCTATGAGCATTGGGCTGCAGGTGTCTTTTTGAAGTAGGGTTCCTTCTGGATATATGCCCAGGAGCGGGATCCCTGGGTCATATGGTAAGTCTATTCCTAGTCTTTTGAGGAATCTCCATACTGTTTTCCACAGTGGCTGCACCAAACTGCATTCCCACCAGCAGTGTAGGAGGGTTCCCTTTTCTCCACAGCCTCTCCAGCATTTGTCATTTGTGGACTTTTGAATGATGGCCATTCTGACTGGTGTGAGATGATACCTCATTGTAGTTTTGGTTTGCATTTCTCTGATAATTAGTGATACTGAGAATTTTTTCGTGTGCCTATTGATCATTTGTATTTCTTCCTTGGAGAATTGCTTGTTTAGGTCTTTTGCCCATTTTTGGATTGGGTTGTTTGTTTTTTTCTTATTAAGTTGTATGAGCTGCTTATATATTCTGGAGATCAAGCCTTTGTTGGTTTCATTTGCAAAAATTTTCTCCCATTCTGTAGGCAGAGGTTAGGAATTTTTGATGTGTGTTTTATTTCAAAAAGTTCTTTCTTTCCTTTCTCTGCTTATAATAGGTAATTATTATTGTATAGATGTTACTACTCTGGTAAGTGTTACGATATCAATGACTTATAGTGAGCCATGATATATAAAATGACAGATTAAAGATTAAAGCTCCTCACCCTCTTAAAAAGAAACAAAAAAAGTATCAAACTCTTACTTCTATAAAGATGGATATTGGGGATTTGGGGAGATGAGAGAGTATCTTGAATATCTATTTAAGAAAGTTGTCAACATGAGTCATTGATTTCTTAACACATCCAGACAGTCGAGAGTGGTACCTATCAATCTTAAAGAAAAAATTATTTAAAGTATATAGAGGGAGTTGTCTAAATGGGAAACGAATATTTCTGTGTACTTTGCTTCCATGATGCAAAAGAATTGAGATTATAATCCTGAAGAGTTGAGATTATAATGTAACACAATATGTTATGAATTCAGAAAATCTTAGTAAAATCAGCTGAATTCAAGTGTGGTTTAAGGAACAAAAAGGAAGGGAATACTAATTGAATCCATTTATTTGCTTAGTATTGTATATGGAAAATTTGACCTTTATTTTATTTCCTTAGAAAATAAATTTCATATATGAGGAGAACTGTATTTAGTCTGTATTAAATTCATTTACTGCTGCTTAAATTTTTTTCATTTTGGATTTATAAAATGTCCTTCTAAGATGCAGAAATATTCTTACTCCCTGGTGATTTGGTACACTTAAATTGAATTACGTATTACAATTTTACTGTTAATGTCTCAGTGTAAAACCTGGTACCCTGGGTGGTGATGACATTTTTCCTTATCTATGCAAATTATGAATCTCAATTTTTCTTATAATACAGGATGATGAAAACAATAACTCGTCTTCACAAAGCTATGGTGTTTCTTGAATATTTCACAAGTAATTCTTGGGTTTGGAATACTGACAATGTCAATATGTTAATGAATCAGCTAAGCCCTGAAGATAAAAAGGCAAGTGTTTTTATTTTAGATAATGATCAGCATACTAATTAGAGAATGAGTAGCATACTGATTAGTAACCTGAGAAATAATTGGATGTTTTCCACAACCATTATGCAGTAAGAAAGTCATTCATCTATTTATAGTCTCTCATTAAATCTCAGTCATAATAAGTGGTGGTAAAATAAAATTGTTTTACCTTAGAATTTATAGTGTAAATATCTGAGAGTAACAGAGGTATTGTCAAAGCATGACTGAAATTTTGATTTTTTTTCTCTTTAATGTCAGGTTCAAAGAGAACTTTTACTTTATTTATGCATTGTCCCCCCAAACACCATGTTTTCTTTAAGTTTAAGGGGGAAACCTTCTCTCAGAAATTGTTTTTCATATACTCTTAATTTTATTATTACACATTTTGTTCTCTGTTAGATTGAAACGTAAACTCTGTGTATTTTCTTTTTGAGATTACCTTAGATACTTGAATATGCATACCTAACAAAGTCTAAATTGAACAATTTCTATATCGTCTTCCTGAATGATATTTAGGACCATAAAATGTTCTAGCTCTGATTACCACCCCCACTAACTTACATGTTTATATGTTACTTTAGTTCTGTATTTAAACATCATAATTAAAAATGATTATTTTGTTCAGTTTTACTTTAACTATGTAGTTATCATTGTCTTTGCTATCAGATCTTCTCTTTAGGATCATTTTCTTCTTGCTTGAAATATATCCGGAATACCAGAATATGGCTGAGTAGGGGATCTATCAGTAGTGAATTGTCAGTTTTCAGTTGTCTGGCATGTCTTTATTTCATGCTTGTTTCTGTAACATGATTTTAGCACATTAAAGATAACTTTCTTTTTATATTCTGTCTTACTTCATTGCTGTTAAAAAATCAGTCTAATTTGCTGTTGCTTTATAGGTGGTCTATTACTCCTGCCTCTTTTTCAGAGTTTTTATTTATTCTTGGTATTCTGTGATTTCACTATGAATGCATCTGGGTGTAATTTAAAAATAATTTATTCTGTTTCAGTTGCGCTTCCTGGATCTGAATGTCTTAGACACGTGCACATTTGTAAACTGTTCATCTCTCTAGACTATTTTTCAGTAGGATTACTAACACCTTTTACCATTTCTGTATAAGTTTTTTATGTAATACAAAATGCATACTAAAGTCACATTGAGATACTACTACACAACCACCAAAGTGGCTAAAATTAAAAATTTAAATTAAAATGCCAAGAGTTGGGAAGGATGTGGATTAACAGGAACTCTCATACATTGCCACTTGGAATGTAAATTGATACAACTACTTAGGAAAACTGTTTGGCATTAGCTAGTAAATTGAACATATGAATATCTTTTGGCTCAGCTATTCTATTTCTAGATACATACCATACACAAATGTGTGTACAGGGTTCATAGAAGGATTATTCCCAGTAGCCAAAAACTGGAAAAAACTCAAATATCTATCAACAAAAGAATGAAAAAATAACACAACATTTAGTGTTAGAATTCAAGACAGTTGTTACTAGTGGGAGGAGAGAGGAGATAGTGATTAGGAGTGGCCATGAGGGGATCTTCTGGGTTTTATAATAATCTATTTCTTCACCTGGGTACTCCCCTTCTAATGATCCATTGGGCAGTATATGTTGTACAGTGGGATGAAGGAACGGTCAAAAACTGTCAAACTGAAAAAAAAAATCTGTATGCTACTTGTAAGAAAAATATTTGAAAGATAAGGATACAGAAAAGTTGAAAATAAAAGAATGGAGAATGATACACATTTCTAGCAATGTATGAGAATGCCTGCTTGCACAAGGCCTCACCAGAGTATGATGTCAAAGTCTATATTTTTACAAATCTAATAAGTAATAAATACCTCAGTCTAGTTTTAATTTGCATATCCATTTTTATTAATGAGGTTAAGTATCTTTTCAAATTTAGAATCACGTGCGCTTAATATAGTCCTCTTTAAATGTTGACATGAGTTTTCAGATTATACTAAAATGTTTTGTGTTTAATGAAAGATGTGAAATAGGAATAAGAACTTTTTGTGAATAGCATTCAAAATTAATACTGTAAACATTTTGTAATCATGTCATGTGGAACTAGCCTTTAGAAAAAGTACGAGTTTTTGACTGGTTGTGAAAAAAAGTTATTTACGAAAATAACCAATAATATTTGTTTATGTAGACCTTTAATATTGATGTACGGCAGTTGCATTGGGCAGAATATATAGAGAACTACTGTATGGGAACTAAGAAATATGTATTGAATGAAGAAATGTCTGGCCTCCCTGCAGCTAGAAAACATCTGAACAAGTAAGTTTTATATGGGCTTGGTTTTATCTTGTCTTCCCTATGAAATGTTAGAGTTTTTTGGTAAGCTGATACAGTATATTATTAGCAGTATCTTTTCATTCACTGTATTTAGGAAAAGTGCTTGCCTTTGGACTGTAACTATGGTAGTATTAACTTAGCCTATGAGTGTTGAAACTTACTATTTTCATCTATTTATACTGTTTCTTAGTACTAAGTTCAGGTAGAATTTAGCTTTAATAATCACTGTTATCTTCCTTTATATTGCTACTAAAGTAGTAAAGATACTAGGAGAAAATAAAAATATATTTTAAACTGAAGGTAATTTAAAGATTAGTTTTTGTTTGTTTATTTCTTTGCCCTACTTAAATATGTCTTTGGAAGAGGAAAAGTATAGAATATTTTTCTTTGTTTATAAAATAATTATAAATATTCCCTTAGTCCCTTTGTAAAAGTAATATGTACTGATTGTTTTTTTAAAAATTCAGAAAATAGGAAAGGAAAAATTACTGTTAATCTATCACTCAAAGATGCAGTTAACTTTAAAAGTAATCTCTTTTATTTGTAGTAGCTTTTTTAATACAATTTTTATGAATTTTTCAGAACTTTCACATTTTCCTTGTGTTTTCAACTCTATGAGGCCTTACAGGGCAGCTAGTTGTATAGATGAGGAAACTGTGGCTTAGGAAATTGTGTTTGACAAGGTCATATGGTATTAAGTGGCAGGGTAAATTAGAATACTGATCTTTGATTCCTAATTCAAAGCTCTTTTATTTACATTCATTATTCATATATTGTACAGTTGACCCTTGAACAACATGGGTTTGAACTGAGAGGGTTCAAACGGATTTTTTTTCAATAAATACATACTACAGGACTACGCAATCTGATGTTGGTTGAATTTGCTGATGCAGGAACACAGCTAAGGAGGGCTGAGTGTAAAGTTATACTTGGATTCTCAACTGTGTGGAGGGTCAGTATCCCAACCCCCGCATTGTTCAAAGATCAACTGTGGTCCTATATCTCAAACTGCCTGTTGAAGTTAATGGAATATATGTAGCCCTATTGCATATCTAAAGTTTTGTGTTTGTATTCCTTTCTAACACCACTGAAAAAACATCAAAAATGTTTTGAAACGTGAGCAAGGTAATGTGCATTTTGCTCTTTGAGACTGGGAGTGTCCTCCTGCATAGAGCAGGTGCCATATTTCATTTGTGTCCAGTTGGCCTTTGATCGTGTGACTGTCAGGTATAACTAAAGGGGTAAATTCACTTGTCTGACAACTTCTAAGCAGATAAAGATGTCCAAAAAGTGTTTATTTTGTCTGTAGGATGATATATATAATGAATATACCTTTTTAGATTAGATAGGAAACTCTGGAAGTGCGAGGGACAGGTCTGTTTTATCTACTAATAGACTTGTTGCCTAATACAGTACTGGGCACACAGAAGAATGCACATTAATACTTATTGAATAAATAAATTATCCCAAATATGCTGTTGTAAAAAAAACCTTTGTGTTATTCATTGTTAACAGAGGTAATGCATTGTTTAATGGACTGCTGTCCAGCATGTGCACAGTCAGTTTGTTTGACTTTTGCTAACTTTCTGATTTAAGGACTTCTAGTTAGTTTTTAAATAAGTTTCATAATGATACATATTTGAACTTCGATTAGATTAAAAACTGAACATCAAGTTATTTGCTATCCAACAGTATTCATCCAGTTTATCTCTTGATTTGCTTTCCAGGTTGAGGAACATACGTTACGGTTTCAATACTATCCTTGTGATCCTGATTTGGCGCATTTTTATCGCAAGATCACAAATGGCAAGAAACATCTGGTATTTTGTGGTTAGTCTGTGTTACAAGTTTCTGTCATACTTTCGAGCATCCAGCACTATGAGATACTGAAGACAAGAATTTAGCATTAGAACATCTATGCATATGGTGGTCTAAATGCACAAAATGTAAAATGTACTTAAGTCATCTCACCTTTTGTCAAGATATTAAACCGTCTTAGATCAGAGTGTGGTACATTTTATGTAACATTTTAATGTTTATGCTCATGAAAACCTAGTGAATACACTGTGGTATGCCAGCTCAAATCTACAGTAGCCACCAAAACCATGACCTAACATTTTGATTCCTGAGGGAAAGGGATGGGGTGAGGGTAGAAGTGGGGAAATAGGAACATTGACCAGTATAACTGTGCAATTCTGGAACATACTAATTAAAATATGCCTTAACGTATAGTAAATTTCTAATTCTAATATTTAGTGCAGTGGAAAGCATTTTATTTGGACAAGAATACTAGCTAATAAGTGGGTAGATATTTGATTCTTCAGTGTTTGATTTTTTTTCATCAGTTGACGTGGGTTTTAGTTTTGTTTAAATTACAGCCAAATTATTTTCACATCATCCTGTAAGTTATTGAGTGGTCTCAGACATGAAAGATATGTTCTCATTTTCCTTTCTTTGGTTAGAGGTCTGATGCATATCACTTTTCTATCAGCAATCAATTGCTTTCATAATCAGAAGGCTGTATGTTATTATGTAAAGACCCTACTGGATCTAAATGAGTTTGAGACTCCATATCAACATATACTATGTCTTTTTAGAAGGAAAATGAAAATTCAGTAAGACTATTTGTATCAAAAAGAATAGGAATACACTTTTCTTGTCTACATTATGACCAAATAAAAATAAGTCCTGTGACATTTTGTTCATGTTTTGAAGCTGGATGACTACTTGAGATTTTGACAAGCAGGTATATATGTGGGGAGAAGTTTACCATACTTGTGCTCTCCTCCCATTATAAGTTTTATTAATAGGACTTTTAAAGGCTTATACAGTCTTTCCAGTGAAAACTGAAAGTACATTATTATGAAAGAATGTATTTGCAGGTAGTCATAACATTAAGAAAATGTTCTCATACGTGTGTAAACACATACTAACTCTTGACCTCTAGAGCTGAATTCCTTCAAGAAAAATAATGCGTAAAATAATGTGTATAAAATTAAATAAAGGACTTTATTTACATACCATATAAAGTAGCAAACTGTTGAATGAGTTTGAAGATATCATTTATTTTTTTCTGCATGTGGTTTTAGCTTTTAGAAAGAAATGCATTATAGAAACAAGTAATAGCAAGAAAAATAATGTATATTTTAATGATACATTATAATTCACTTTCAACCTTAATGGTAACTCTCCTTACTGTTTTAACATTAATTTGGTTTAACAGATCAGCATAACATGTTCCAATTTAGCTGAGCAAGTTGTAATATATTTAAGTCATTAACAATGTATCTTGAATATATTTAATGAAATCAGTTCACAATACAAAAAGTTACATGGAACTTAATTTTCTTTGTCAGTTTAAATGCAGTGTATAAGAAGTTTATTTTGTTATTGTGAAAAAACTAAATGTAAAGGAAATCACCTTCTTCCATGCAGGTGTATAATCTTGAAAAGGAAAATGCTTCCATGTTGAAGCCAGATTTTCTGTAGTAAAACTTTTGAAACGTTATTTTAAAAGAAATACGTATATAAATATATATTTTTCTTTGGATGATATTCAAGTCTTTGGTCCAGGACCATACCTTGTGTAAGGTATGAGAGACCATGACAGTGTCTGAAAATGGAATAAATGATGATGCCTTTGATTTAAAGTGGCCCACATAATTAACAGTAGATGCTCTGTACATTGAATACTCCATTTCTCCAAATACATTTCCATAATGTGTTGAAAACATGCTAACTTGTATCATTTTTATACATCTGCTGAATATACTTAGAATCAGATGAATTGTTTTTGTGTCTTGAAAAAGAATCAGGAACAACTTTGGCAGGCATATGAAGTACTTGGGAGGTGTATGTTTCTGAACTCTGTCATTGTTCTTGTAATCTTAACTTAAAAAAGTGCTAACTGGGAGGGTGCTGAGGCCACTGCATTAATTTTGTGTGTTTGTTTAGAATTCTGTTGTCAAAAGAAAACTAATGAATAAATTAATATGTCATTCTGGAACTTAAAGTTCTAAAATTAGTATAAAAAGTATATAGGTTGTTATTCCTCACCAACTAAATTTAAGCTTAACTCAAAGATTTTGGAAATCATTTTTATTTATGTCATTTGGTACACATGGTTTTTAGTTCTGTTTGATTATATTTCATATGTGAACTCAAATTTTAACAGGATAGCCTATTAAATAAATTTAATATTTCATTTAACTCATTTGATAAAGCGATACTATGAAACATTTGGGGTTTTTTCCCCTTTTCACTCTTGTAATTATAATTCTGGCATATGCGTTTGTCATTGTGATGTCATGGTAACTATATTTAAATTTGACTTGGCAACATTAATACGTCCTAAAACTCAACACAGAGAAGCATGGCAATATATTCTTTGACTTAAGGATGGTGTAAAATAAACATTTTTTGAATCTGTGTAATAAAGCTTGGAAGCAGGGAGGAGAAATTCTTACTTCTCCTCCTTTTTGTGCTTATCTGTAGGAACTGGTTCAGGGTTTTTTGCTTTTTTGTTTTAAATGTAAATTGATAGTCTTTTATAAAAAGCAAATAGAAGCATTATTGGGTGCCTTTGTTTGTAAACCAAAAAGTAATAAATGAATCCCTATATTTCCATTATAGTATTTATTGTATTTTTACAATAATTACTCTGAAAGTTACCCATGAGGTAATGTGGTTAGGATTATAGGAAACAGTTCTCACTCACACTTCTTCTTACATTTTTTTAGGTGTACTCATTACTTTTTGTATTCTAATTTTATTTAGTTCTGAGCCTTACATTGCCTTTTAGGGGAAGCATATAGGCAGGATAAATGCTTTTTATTAAAGTATTATTCTTATGTATTAGTTGGAATGAGGTAGTTTTTCTGATTTCTAAAAACAGTACCAGGAGACTGTCAGGATGTCATTAGGCTCCAGCTGTTCTCATTGAATGATACTATATTAATCTATAGGTACGTTTGTTGTAATTTATCTGTTGAGTAAGTATAAGGGATCATTCATTAGTAATAGAGATTAACTATAAAAAAGGAGAGAGCTCTTACTAGGCTAGGGTACAAGTGAATATAAAAGACCTTCCAAGCAAGCTTTTCTAGGCTGATTCCAAGCCCTGACTTGAAACCATTAGCACTGACTTGCTCTATTTTGAGAAAAACTCAAATCTTTTGCTTGAGAAACTAGAGAAAGGAATATATACTGCATAACTTGATATAGAAATGAGTTGATTAAATTTACAGTCTCTGTGATAGAAGAAATATGAAATATTTTCTTAATGAATTAATATTCTTAAGACATTTTCTAGTCATAGAATGAATTTATTGGGTTTTTTTTTTAATGTTGGTACCCTCTTAGCATACATCTCTGCTACCCTTAAGATTTCTAAACAGATCATTTTTGTCATTTGAGCATAGTTGTGCATATTTGTTAAATAATTCCTTTGATTTTTCTTTATTAAAGAAAAATTTGAGTAATATTAAGTTTGAAGTGCTCATTTGCAGTTGATGGCTATAAAGTACACTCATATAGAAAAATGTAAAGTGATAAGTATGAGTTTAATATCTTTACTGTGGGCAAATGAGACTATAATTGTCTTCTTTTCTTTCTTCTCTTTTCCTTTTTTGGTCACATATCATATAACAATACCTATACTTTTATACATTGAGAGAGGCAATGGAGATTATTTTGAATTCATTAAAATATACAAGTATTTCTAATCTCTTCAAAATATTTACCTTAAGATGTTCTTCTAGACATTTGACTTTAGTTTTATGTTTTATCTTTATGGGGTTGAATTAGGTGTCCAGAGGTGATTTTGAGATAGAATTCCTTTATTTTCTGCTTTTGTACGGAAAACCTAATTCTTTCTCTCTATTTTTCTCTTTCTCTGTCTCTCTCTTCATGTAAATCTGTGGAGAGCTTATCTTCAGTTTTTAAGAGCAAAGTACACAACTAGAAAGTGTTACGTTGAAAAACATTAAAATGCTAATACTTGATCATCTTAACCTATAAAGATAATTACATATGATTCAACCTAGTATTAGAGCTGCTTTCTTGGTTTTATGTTTTAATAAGTTCATCTGAACTTAAACATACAAATGAATGGGATTTTATTTAAAATAGTCATCCCAGGAGATTGTATATTTCATCAGTTCTTAATTTTTTGACATTTAATACCTTCTTTTCTGCTTTATGTTACACCTTTCACAGGTTGTGGTCTTTTTTCCCCAACTTGGTGGTTGATTTCTTGAGAGGAAAACCAGCTTTGTACCTTTCAGTTTGTAGAAATAACACTAGTGAACATTTGTTGAGCACTCACTCAAAAATGCCCAGCACTACTCTAAACATTTTACTTATATTAACCCATTTGTGCCTTACAACAACCCTTTGAAGAAGGCACCTCTGTTACCCACGTTTTATAGGTGTGGTAACGGAGGTATATGAAGTTAGTAATTTACTCACGTTAAACTGCTAATGGCAGATAGTCTAGTTCCAAAGCCCACTGCACTTGTCCATCACAGTATACTGTCTTTCACTGTAGGAACACAGGTTTTTCTCTGACATGTGCTTGGGTTAGGCACTGTGTTTTGTAAGTTCATTTGTCTGTCACTCAGCCGCTCAGCACACTGTAAGCTTCTCAGTGGTCCAGACCGGAATATGTCATGCCACCTACCCTTTAGGGTGGTATAACTTAACATGGGTAAGTAAACATAGTTTTAATATAACACATAAAGTAAAGAACAAAGTACTAAAAGCACAGAGGATTGATTTACTGCTTAGTATTTCAGGGAAGAGCTCATACAGACACGGCATTTGAATTGTGGTTTTAAGTCTGATTGGTAGAATGCCAGGCTGGGGAGCATTCCAGGCACAGAGAAGGGCACATGTAAAGGGAAGTGTGAGGAGCAGTGAGGAAATATTTTGGTGATAAAGGATAAAATGAGTAAGGAAAGATGAGACTGAGGAGGCAGTTGGTGGCCAGCGGAGGGCTTTGCCTGCTTGAAATTCACTGTGGGCTGTGGAATGGCTGTGGTCAAAAACTCTCAGAAGATTCTCCTAGCTAATGCACATCTTTTCCTATTAAATTTGAATAGATGTTGGACTTTCAATGAACTGACCCATTGTATTTGTTTTCTAAATGAAATCAGTTTAAGAGAAAAAATTCTACTCAAAGAGTGTCACTAAGTGTTTTTGAGAATACAGAACCACACCAGTGTTTAAACAGTTCATCTCTGTTTTTCAGTTTTCTGTGATTTCTCAAAGTGTGATCCCTAGACCAGCAGTAGCAGCAGCATCTGCGTCACCTGGGAGCTCAATAGAAATGCAACTTTCAGACTTACTGAATTAGAAACTGGGGTTGAGGCCCTGCAACCTGTTCTTAAAAGCCCTCCAGGTGATTGCAATGCACACTAAAGTTGGAGAACCCTGGTCTGTATATGTGTAGTCCATCTTCATGAGATACCAACAAGGTCCAAGTAGAGTCCATTCCTAGGATCTGGGACAAGGTCTGGAAAGTCCCACTTGAAACTAAAAATCAGTATGTAAAATATGACACAAAATACTTATGTAGAAAAAGATCTGACCTTGCAGGAATAATGCCAAAATGTTCAAGAAGTTAGCCTTATGTGATAATTAAGGATGGTCTAGCTTTTTGTCCCCTATTCTGTCATAGTTTCCATGTTTTCTGCAATGACCTGAGTTTTTGGTAAACCAAAGTAGTTTTTATTTTAAGTAACTTACAATTAGGGTGCGTGGAATCTGGAAAAATCACAAAAGTGTTTAAAAAAAAAAAAGGTCCATTTATTCTGGGTTTTTAACTCCAGATCTTGAGATGGCACTTTTGTCTCATGACTAGAGAACAGCAACTTACTAGGCTATGATAGCTCTTGAAATTGTCCAGGTGTTTGATTTGTTTTTGATATACTTGGTAAATACATTTAGTTCTGTGCTTACTGGTTCTTACTCGGTCTTTCTCTGGTGCCAACCAGGAGTGTAGGTCCTGTTTTTGTAGCCAAGTAACTACAGTCCTCCAGCTAGCTTTGTAATTCCCATTATAATGCTCACATATATCAATATGGAAAATCAGTTCCTGTAGAGATTGTTCAATTCTCGGTAGACTGAGAAGGTATTTCTGTCCTTAAAGCTGAGTTCTAGAGCCTGTGCCCTGGAATCTCTCATAATTACCATAGCATGCAGGCAGTTGCAAATTGCTAATTTTAGAATGTCTTGCTTGAGAAAATCTGAAATGATTAGGGGTTTTGCCTTAAGCTATGTGAAAACAGGACTTATCCCCAATTAGATTGAAAATACCTTTTACTTCGTTTTCTCCATTCCATTGTGAGCTCTCCCATAGGACAGCCTATTTTTTAAAGTACCTGGCATGCTCAATAAATGTTTCAGCTTAACTGATAACTTGAAGTTTGTCTTTCCTTCCATCAGTCCCAGAATTGTCCCATTTCCTGCTCATATATAAGATTGTGCAATCAAGAAGTATTTGCTAGAAAGTGTCTGGGCACAGGATGCAGCCGAGCTTTGAGGGACTGGAGAAAGTGCAGTGAATCCAGAAATGAGGGGTGAGGAAACAGGCTGGGTGGATGTAGGAGCAGGGTGAGGTGAGGGGCACCAATGGAGACTGTGACAGGTGGGAGGGGCCCAGATTCAGACAGCCGAGGAAGGTTAACTCCCTCCTGGGGTTGAGGTTCCTGTTTCTAAAGGTTCTTTTTTCAGATGGGCTTACTTAGTGTCTCCTTACTCTCCCTCGTGTGCCTGCTCCTTGTCCCCACCCAGGGCTGACCTCGGAGGAGGCTAGATTAAGGGGTTGACTGCAGACTCACCCATCATGATCTTCCAAGAGAGAAAGCCACAGTGAATGAGAAAAAAGATGATCCACCCTGAAATGGGCACCTGCCTAGGAGGGTCTCATTTGGCAGATGGAGACCCTCTGCTGAGGATTTCAGCCAACAGAGGGGAGGCAGAGGGAGATACCTGAGATTGTTTCTTAGGCCTCTGCTGTTTGGGGAGCTTGAGACAAGCCCCAAACCCTTCTACACTACTCTTCAACCAGGAAATGCTTTCTCTGCCTGCTGCAGAGACATAGCTCCCATGTCTGAAACATACCTGCTTATGCCACCTCTCAACCAGGTAGGTCCAGTCAGGCTGTAAGGAAAAATGGCCTTCAAAGATCTGGCACCCTGCAGCCAATATTCCAATAGACGTTGCCTGCCTGGGGCCTAAGGAGGTGGGACCAGAAGAAAGCCTGACGAGGCCTTCTGGAAACTTCAGCAGTAATATTATTTCTGGGCAGTGTAGGCCTCCCATCAAATCCCTGACACTTGCTGCATCTATGGGAAGAAAAAGGCAGCTTAAGGTTTCGCAAGACACTTGCCTTTTGGAGAAAAGCGAAAGGAAAAGGAAAGGATTCACACGAATACCCAAGCTGTTGTTTTTCTGCTGGGGCACATTCTCTTGCACCTAGGCTTCCGGGGACAACCAAACAGAAACAAAGCGCAACTCTTCTGAGCATCCCTGGTGGGTTGCTTTGCCCCCTTCTGTGGTGGTCATTTAGTGTCTTCTCCAGTATCCTGGAGTTCCCACATCAGTCCAGACTCCTTCCCCCCACATCACAGACCTTCAGGCGTGAACCCCTCTACTTACAGACTCACCTCAGTGCTTCTGCCCTTCCCTGGGTCTCAGGAGCTGCATTGCTCCACTTGGTGCAGGCCAGGCCTACCCCCTGCTCAGGTGCCCTTCCTGCCTTAACTGTTCCAGGACACCTACCTGTCTATGTTTCTTTCTGATCTCTCGCTCTCCCTGCTTCCTTCCCTTTCCCCTAGCCACCTGTTCAAACGTACCTCATGGAGAGGTAGGAACTCCCTCCACTGGCTACTCACACAAATTCCTTCTTGTTTCTCTCCTGTCACCTCCAATCTTGAAATAGCAGTTCTCTCTTGCCTTTCTATCTCAGCTCCCTCCCTGCCATGCACACTTCAGCACATTGTTCTCTGGCTAGTCACATCCAACACCTAACGGACACTTGTCAGCAAGTCCTTATCTCCTCTGACCTTGTTGCACCAGTTGACACGGGTGACCACTCCATTCTCCTCGATCTCTTCCCCTCTGTTGGCTTTCCCTAACGCAACTGTATGCTGGGTTTTCCCTACCGCTTATTGACGTTGCTTTTCTTTTTTCCTTCTCGTTACACAAGCTCTGTCCTTAGCCCTCTTC